TTGTATGGTTGGGGTCACCACAACCTGAGGAACTGTATTAAAGGGTCACAGCATTAGGGAGGCTGGGAACCACTGTCCAGTTTTGAAGATGCCTGTGGGATCTAAGCAGAGAGACTCTCCACAAACCTCTGCAAGGCTGGAGGCCTCTGGAAATGGAAGCACCAAGCCTCCCTACCAAGCCTGTGGATCACACTTAGGCACTGGAGAGCACAATCTGCACCTTCGTGTCCACCCTGAGCTGCTCACTCTTGGCCAAGGTCCCTGAACAGGGAGTGAGCTTGTTTCCACAGGACACCCACTGCTCCTGGCTCTCACCTGGCTTCTTTGGCCCTGCCTTGTTTCTATGGCATCCAAGATCCCAACAAGCATGGGCTTTTTTTTTTCCAATTTTTTAAAAGATTGCCAGGAGCAGTGGCTCAGGACTGTCATCCCAGGATTCAGGTGCCTGGTTTAGGTAAGGTGGAGAGTTTGAGGCCAGCCTGGGCTACAAAGAGATTCTCTTTTAGAAAAAAAAAAAAGTAAAGTGCTCTGGCAAAAATAAAATGGCACCGTTCCCCAAGTGGCTGCAGCAGACAGCGGGCCACAAGGAACTGAGGTGTTAAAATGCTGCCATTCCCTAGTGGCTGGTGGGCTACAAGGGACAGCGGGTCCTAGACAGGAACCCGCATGACAGGCGAGAGACCGAGAGAGCTAGGCACACCATGCAGAGAAAGTGAGTATTTATTTAGTAGGTTATGGAAGGGAAAGGGGGTAAGGGGGAAGAAAAGAAGAAGAAGAAGAAGAAGAAGAAGAAGAAGAAGAAGAAGAAGAGGAGGAGGAGGAGGAGGAGGAGGAGGAGGAGGAGGAGGAGGAGGAGAAACGGAGATGGGGGAGAGGAGAGGAGCCACCTCTTTGGAAGAGAGATGGATAGGAAAGGAACTCAGGCTGAAAGAGGGAGGATGATCTGCTTGCCTCAGCTAGGCAAGAGGGAGTTAGTGGGGCTTGTCTTTTTTTTTTTAAAGATTTATTTATTTATTATGTGTACAGCATTCCTTCCACGTGTGCCTGCAGGTCAGGAGGGGGCGCCGGGTCTCATCATAAATGGTTGTGAGCCACCATGTGGTTGCTGGGAATTGAACTCAGGACCTCTGGAAGAGCAGTCAGTGCTCTTAACCTCTGAGCCATCTCTCCAGCCCGTGGGGCTTGTCTTTTAAAGGAATAGGACAGACCATTACATTCCCATTTCTTTTTTTGTAATAAAAAGGTGGGAGGTTAGGCACAACAGGTTAAAGAATTAGGATGGTAGATTCTCAAGACAGCTTCTTGCTTATTTATGGGGGTTGTCTTGTGAGGGGAACTTGAGAAATCTGGGTGCTGGTTACATCCTGCATAGCTGGTCTCTTTGCTTCTGTCTGGTGTTTGGGGTATGGAAATGTCTGGAGTCTTACACCTGTTTAAGGCATTGACAGAAAAGAGGACATAGTTAAATTTAGGGGAAAAAAATTTTAGGACCAAGGAATTGAGAGGGGTGCATCTGACCTGTTTAAGGTGGATTCTTTAGTTCAGCTTCCTAGAACTCACAAGAATTCTTTGGGTTTGTGAAACCATAAGTTTTAGACATATACATTGTATCAACAGTAGCATATTTAGTCAGAATGACTGTGACAGATGTTTTTGCACAATGAAAAGAATTTTTAAGACTATGGAAGGCAGCATTAGAGAGAAATTTGATTAACTTGTATTTGTCCTTACACCTTTATAGCTTGCAGGTACATACCTTAATAACTTGTATTTGTGTTTTACTTGAAATTTGCAGGCAAATGGATGGAGCTAGAAAACATCATTTTGAGTGAGGTAACCCAGACCCAGAAAGATAATCATCATATGTATTCACTCATAAGTGGTTTTTAAACATAAGCCAAAGAAAACCAGCCTACAAACCACAATCCCAGAGAACCTAGACAACAATGAGGATACTAAGAGAGACTTACATAGATAAAATCTACATGGGAAATAGAAAAAGACAAGATCTCCTGAGTAAATTGGAAGCACAGGGACCATGATAGAGGGTTGAAGAGAGCAGAGAAAAATGTATAGCTCAATAAAATAAAATAAAAAATGACAAAACCTTTCAGCTGTCAAACTGAATCAGAGATCTTTGAGAAGGATAAATTTTTACTTAAGCAATTATTAATTTAAAAATGACAGAAAACTTACTTGGTTGCCGCCTTAAGTCAGTCCTCAGGGTCCTGCATGGTCACCGAAGGTTGTATTTTTCTTTTGCTGTTTAGCACACAGCCTGCCAGGCTCCAGAAGATCCTGTGGGCTAAGAAATCTGTAGGAAGACAAGCCTACCTTGACCTGAGCAGCAAGGCGTCGATTCCAGCGATTCTCTCCATGTCTGGTGATCTTTAGTTTGGATGAAAGGCAGTTTTACTAGGTGGTCAGTGTTTAGTAGTGAAACAAATTGCCGATGAACATTTTCTTGTGCCCATTTGCCTTCTGTCTTCCTGGGAGGAAGTAGAATACTGCTGCTAGAAGTCAGCCTGTCTCTTTTCGTTATGAAAAGTATTTTAATAATTAAGCCCTTAAATGCCATATTCCCCAGATCTCTGAGCAGTTGAGGGCTGTTTACTGGGTATAGATGAGTTATAACTACAGTATAGATTCTGCCTGGAGAGCTGGGTCCGAGCTTGACTGTACTAGCTCTCAACTTAACAGGTAAAGCAGGGTTGGATTAAGAGACTTAAAAGCATATACCAGTTTAAAACATGAGACATATTGCTTTGTAGTGTGGAATGAGATACAATGAACAGACAATTATAACATTTAACTGTAAACATACATGCATTTAATATACATGTCTGCACACATAAGAGTGAACAGGAATTGGGCAAAGTGGATGCTTTTGGTGGGCCCTACCAAACACATGCCACTGCACAAAACACACATGCAACAGAGTCAGCACCGGGGAACCAGGCAGGGAATACCTCAGTAAAGATGGCGGGACTTGGTCACCTGACCTCAGTCAAGACAGCAGCCTTAACATGTTATATGGAAAAGCCACATTTTTTGAGTTGTGGGAGTTTTAAACATAATAACAAGAGAGAACTAGAGGCGTGATCCCCACTGTTGCCAAGCCACTGAACCACAAGCCACGCAACAAGCCACGGGGGTGGAGGGGAGGACGGCTGGAATTGAAAACAGCTGCCTCGTGGATTCGACTAATCTTGTCGGTTCTGCAGCAGTAGTGGTGGCAGGGATAGTTTGAGGAAAAGTGGAGCCAGTGGGACCAGCAGAGCATTCACAGGTGGTTGGCTGATGGTTTGAGGGTTTATGCCCTAGCTGAAAATGTGAAAACCTGTCAAAACAACAAATGAACACCGCAGGGCCTATAGGAGGATGTCTCCTCTCTACAGGCAGGTGCTAATGAAACAGCCACACCACAAAGCCTATAGGGAAATGTCTCTTCTCCACAGGTGGGGTGTGGATGAAGCCTGACTGGCTCCCAGTCCGGGCAGCTCAGAAGCCAGAGGTGGGGGCGGGGCTTGTCTCTTAAAGGGACAGGACATGACATTGCAGACAGAGCAGTGGTGGTGCTCACATTTAGACTGGGCACTCAGGAGGCTACAGCAGGAGGATCTCTGAGTTCCAGGACAGACTGGTCTACAGAGTTCCAGGAAGCTAGGACTACATAGTAAGACTGTCTCAGAACCAAAAACCAACCAAACAACAACAACCACAAACAATAGTGAGGCTGGATGGGATATGCGGTGCAGAAGGCAAAGGCAGGCAGATTTCTGTGATTTGAGGGCCAGCCCAGTCTGCACATAAGTTCTAAACCACTTAGGGCTACATAGTGAGACCTTGTCTCAAAAACAAAACAAGGGCTAGGGAGCTCAGTGGCTAAAAACACTGGCTGCTCTTGCAGGAGACCTAGGTTTGGTTCCCAGCATCCATACAGTGACTCACAGCCATCTGTAACTCCAGTTCCAGGGGATCCAGGGCCTTCTATTACCTCAGACGGTCCCTCAGATACACGCGTGCTACACAGACATACATATAGGCAAACCACTCGAACACAAAAATAATATATATTTTCAATGTCAAAACAGGTGTAATCCTAAAGTTTTCCAGGGATGTCACAAAAAAGACTCAGTTTGTTCATAGAAAACAGCTCTTCTTGTGCAACCCCATGACCTGAGTCTTTACATTATGCTGAGATCCAACCAGTTCAAGTCGGGAATTTCAGACAAACTAATCAGTATCTTCTTGAATTTGTTTGTTTGTTGTTTTTGAGAGGGGGTTTCCTGTATCGAGGCTTATAGCCAACGACAACCGACAACCCTTAACTTCTGACCTTGCTGCCACCTCTTCCCGACTGCTGAGGTTACAGATGGACACAGCCATATCTGGATTATAGAGTGCCAGGGACAGGAAGCAGGGCTTGTGCCTGCTGGGTAAGCACTCTGCCACCTGAGCTACATCCCAGCCCTAAATAAAAAATAAAAGAATAAAAATAAATAAACTTAAAAATAAAATTGTCTTTAGTTTTATTCCTCCAACCCCGATCCTCTGCAGGCACCTAGGCATTTTGTTCAGTCCTGTTCCTTCAGTGTGAGTGTTCCTCCATCTGCCACCTACACTACCCATAAGTTCATGAAGATATGAAAACATCATTTTCTTTTGCTAGGTATGGAATTTATTTGGATAATTTTTCTCTTTGCCCTCCATTGTTCATAAGTATCCCAGAAGATCTGAATTTATGGAACAGTGAGCGTTCTGGAAAACTCTTCACCAAGACTGGCTGTTTCCTCACTCCTACAATCCTGTCTCCCCCACTCTGAAGAGTCAGGAGTCAGTGGCTGACACAGTTCCCCCACCCCAGGTTGCCAGCCCAGTTTCAGCTCTGGTCAGCCTCCCCCACCTTCCCCACCTCCCCACCTCCCCCATCACCTCACCTTCCCCACCTCCCCACCTTCCCCATCACCCCCACTCCCACCCCAGGAGGCACTGAAGCCTGCTGTGTGCAGCAGAGGTTAGACTATTCCTTCTAGAGAAGTCTGTCCCATTACAACGTCCCAGAGTGGATCCTGGGCGTATGAGGGGATGAGAAGGACGGTGACATGGAGAGTCAGAATGTGAGCACATCCTTGGAGAGCTGAGTGACTGCTGTGTCTTCAGCTTGTCACAGGAGTCTCATCTGTCCGGAGTTAAGAATGAATGCCTGCAGACACACCTGCCTACTCCTTCCCGTCCCCTGGAGATATCGCTGCCAGTCAAGGCATGGGCCAATGGTTCCACACCCCTCCTCTGGTCTTTCCTTTTTTCTAGCTTGGACACTCCTTGGATGGCTCTTCTTCCTTCTTTATCATAAGTTCCAAGCTGACTTCCTGAGCCCAACGCACACAACCTCTGGTCAGCCTTCCCAGGAGCTGCTGAAATTCGGCTTGGAACTTGGAGGATGAGAAGTAGAAGACAAGAGGGTCTATGCAAGAGTTGAGGGTGCTGAGGAGGATCACATAGCTCCGCCAGGATGGACTCTCACCCTGGACATAGCCCACCACGTGGGACATATTGTAGGGGCCGAAGCAGACGAAGAAGATGAGCAGTGTGGCTGCTAGAAGCCCCATCACCCTCTTCCGCCTGCGCCGGCTGGCTCCTCGGCTAAGAATCCACATCATGCGGCTGTAGCAGTAACTTGTGATACACAGGGGCACCATGAAAAGGACCACAGCTGCTTCTAGTCGTATAGGCAGGAGCACGGCCAGCTGGTCCTCCCGGAATTCCAAGTAGCAGGTTTCATTGGTTCCCTGGCTGTAGGTGGCATTTCCCCAGTATTCAGTGACATAAATCACACTACACTGAGCTGACGCCAGGAACCAGCAGATACCACTGACCACAGCAGCCTGGGCCAGCCGTGGCCGGGTCTTGTACCACAGTGGGTAGGCCACGCTAAGAAAACGTTCGATGCTCACAGCCGTCAGGAAGAGGGAGGTGAGGTAGATGGTAGTGAAGAAAAGGAACCCGGAGAGAGGGCAGAAGAGGAATGGCAGGAGCCATCTCATGCCACAGGCTGCCTCCACCATGCGAAATGGCAGGAAGAGCAGCAGGAGCAGGTCCGAAAGGGTCAGGTTTAGCAAAAGTAAGTCCACGGCCACCGGGCGGCGGCGCAGCTTGCCCACGAAGACCACCAGGGCCATCAAGTTGAGGGGCAGTCCCACGAGGAAAACAAACAAGTACACGGAAAAGAAAAGCCAATGATTGCCGGGAGAGAAGCTCGCCGCCATGTTTATGGATGCTGGTGAGACAGAGATGAACAGGAAGATAATGTGGGGAGTCGGGAAGTCTCCCGTTCCTCCACCACGAGACTTACCCACCAGGCTGGAGTGTTGCCATCACTGTCCACCCCCACGACCAGGTCACCACTTACTCTCCCCTGCAGGGTCATCCTTCCTGCCTTTCCTGTCCCCGACCCGGTGCAGACATCACCAAGTTGTCTCCTGTTTGAACCCCCAGGCCCGTACTCACCAGTTTATTGGAAAACCGGCGCTCTGCTGCCCTGCACCTCGCTGGCTCCTCCAGCACTGGGCGGTGAGCTAGTTGTCCAGCGAGATGATAAAGATTTAGTGGTGCCTGTGACGTCACTCATTGCAGAACTGCACAAAAGATGCTTTGAGAGCTCTGCTAGCTGGGCTGCGTCCATATGCAAAAAAAAAGAAAAAATTAAGGTTGTGTGCATGGCTGCATGTATACAGTCTCAACTGGGACCTTCCTTCCCCATATTTTGACTTCATCTCCTCCACTTGGGCTTCATTATGCTTCTTTAGAATGGGCATAGTGAGGACTCATCGGAGTGGGAGGTAGGCTGCACGGAGTGAGGGCTGGCTGTGCAGCTGGCTATTTCTTGCTAACTCTGGAACTTCGGACACATGAGAACAACTCTGTGTCTCCTATTCTATAACACAGAGGTAACAACACAGTTTCACAGATGAAAACCTACACACTGGCCCAGTGAGGTAGCTCAGTAGCAGGAACACTTAGACTGAGCCGTAGGTCAGTTGGTAGAGCACTTGCCTTTCTAGCATGAAGCCAGATTGTGATGGGCCAGTGACGGAACGGTGACAGACACGAACACGTTCTGGACCAAGACTGCCTCGTTACACAGACCTCTTGCGCTCTGTTTAGACCTAAACGTCATGCAGGACCCCTAGGAAGATGGACATGGGGCATCATTGGTCCCCTTTATTCCTCTTCCCAATGCAGCCACACGGAATAAACCGCCTTTCTCTGCTTTTTGCTGTCACTTGTGGCTTGGGCTGGCCCATGGTGGGTGAATGGCAGGCTCTGGTTGGGTGGGGATGCCGGGTTCGAGGCTTTCACCCTAAGAGCTGATAGCATTAGCGGTGCTGCTTGGTTACTGTCAGCTTGATACGTATGTAGACACGCGTGGGAAGAGGAGCCTCAGCTGAGAAAATGCCTCCATGGCCACTCTGTGAGGACATTTTATTGACTAATGATTGACATGAGAGGCCCAGCATACTGTGGCTGTACCACCGCTGGGTCCATGTTTCAGGCTTCTATAAGAAAGCGTGCTTAACAAGGCATGGAGAGCAAGCCAGTAAGCAAGCAGGCAGTATTCCTCCATGGCTTCTGCTTTAGCTCCTGCTCCAGTTTCCTCTCTTTAGCTCCTGTCCTTCTGTGAGGGTCTGGGACATAGAAGTGAAAGCCAAATAAACTTTTCTTCCCTAAGTTGCTTTTGGTTATGATGCTTCTCTCAGCACCAGAAACCCTAACTAAGGTTTTAACTGTGGATATTTATGCTTGCCTTTGACTTTATTGGGTTATGTTTGTAAACAGTGATTTCAGTCCAGCCCAGTCCTGCAGCCATTCAGTTCTAAATAAACACACAGAGGCTTATATTAATTATAAACTGTCTGATCTATTGCTCAGTCTCATTATTAACTAGTTCTTATAACTTAAATCAACCCTTAATTCTTGTCTATGTTTAGTTACATGGGTTATTACCTTTTCTCAGTAAGGTTTGCTTCCTCTGCATCTTACTTGTGACTGTATCTCTACCTTTCCTCTCCTCAGAATTCTCCTAATCTGATTGCACCGCCTATACTTCCTTCCCAGGTACTGGCCAATTAGCATTTTATTAAACCAATATGATTGGCAAATTTTTACAGTGTACAAGAGCATTATCCTATAGCATGCGTGTGTGTGTGTGTGTGTGTGTGTGTGTGTGTGTGTGTATTGGATTTTTGAGACAGGGTTTCTCCGTAGCTTTTGGTTCCTGTCCTGAAACTAGCTCTTGTAGACCAGGCTGGCCTAGAACTCAGAGATCCGCCTGCCTCTGCCTCCTGAGTGCTGGGATTAAAGGCGTGCGTCACCACCGCCAGGTTAGATTTATATTTTTTTAAAAAATCTATGTCTGTGTATGTATGTGTGTTAGACCTCATCTGTTGTGTGCCATGAAGAAGAATAGAGGAGAGCTCATGAAACAGCAAACCTTTAATAACTGACCACATAAGCAGGTCACTGATCGATCAGGGCTGCAACACAAGGACTCAGGAACCTCGTTTCTCCTAACAACCTGGTGCAGGGGCAGAAGCAAGGTTTATAAGCACAAAAACCCACACACATTTGTTGCCAAGTTACAGTTACATTTTCTTCACCACCCAGAATTCAGAGGTTGGGGCTTTTCTTCTGTGTTCCATCATTGTCAGCTGACACCAAAGCAAGCTTTTCAGTCCAACCAATCAGATTCATTTGTTCCTTCTGTAGTTAGGAACAACCATGACGTTTCAGAGAACTAAAGATACATAATGACTGTCTCCATGGTTTAGGAAGGAGGTTGACCAACCATTGGAAAGCTCTCAGCTCCCCTAGGGTTTGAGAACCTGAACTTTTTTTCACCCTAAATTTAAAATGGAGTCTGAATCAAAATGGCTGTGCTTAGGACAAGGTGTTTTGCCTGCCCCATCATGTGTACATACATGGCCCTTAGAGCCCAAAGAGTGTTTGCTCCCCTGGAGCTGGACTAACAGGCAATTGGGAGTCATTGGATGTGGATGTTGAGAACTGATATCAGGTTCTAATTCTGGAGTGATTTCATCTCCCCAGCTCTGGCAGGGGTTGGAATATATCTTATACATGTGTATATGCATCCTTAGAAGTTTTTTAGAAGAATATTTTGAGCATAAGTGGCACAAGTCTTTAATCCCAGTACTCCAGAGGCAGAGGCAGGCCTCTGAGTTCGAGGTCAGTCTGGACTACAGAGTGATAGATAGCCCATGCAGAGAGAGCTGGGGTAAAGAGTTTGTTTAGTGAGTTACTGAGGGGGAAGGGAAGAGAAAGGGGAGCAAGGGAAAAGAGGAGAAGAAGAGAGAGAAAGGCAGAAACTGCCTCTTCAGAAGAAGGGCAGATGGAGAGAGAGAGAGAGAGAGAGAGAGAGAGAGAGAGAGAGAGAGAGAGAAGGAGGAAGGGGGAGGTTGGGAGGAAGCAGGGCCTGTCAGCTCCAGAAGATCCTGTGAGTTAGAAAATCTGTAGGAAGGCAAACCTACCTTGACCTGAACAGCTAAGCTGTTGATTCCAGTGATTCTCTCCACTGTCTGGAGTTCTATAAGAGTTTAGATGAAGGGCAGTTTTTCCCAGTGGTTAGCGCTTTCTCTTGATGAAGTGAATTGCCGATGGACGTGTTCTGTGCCCATCTGTCTTCTTTGGAGGAAATAGAGCGCTGCTGCTAGGAGCCAACTCGCCTCTCTGTTATGCAAAGTCTTTTAATAATTAAACATTTAAATGCCATATTCCCCAGATCTCTGAGCAGTTGAGGGCTATTTATTGGGTATAGATAAGTTATAGTTACAGTATAGAATCTGCCTGGAGAGCTGGTTCCAGGATTGACTGTACTGGTTTTTAACAGGTAAGATTTATTCTTGTGAAAGACAAAGAAGAAAAAACTGTTTGCAATAGAAGCTTAAGGGCAGAACTGGCAATAGTGGAGAACAGCTCAATATATTTTAAATCCATATATGTATGGATTACATATACAGTATTTTTATAAGAGTCTTAAAAGGACATACTAATTTAAAACATGTGACGTATTGCTTTCTTAGTCTGGAATGAGATATGATGAACTTAAAACATTTAACAGTAAGTGTACAGACATTTACAGTTGAATTTAAGTTCCACAGAAAGTTAAATGAAAAGTGAGCAAGAGGAAGCTGGCTTTTTTGTCGTAAAAGTAGAGTCTCTTTCTACTGAAAGCTGAGAGATTTTGTCAGTTTAAAAGGACAGTCTTGGTCGCCGGGCTCTGGAGCGACACTTGGGGTGGAGCGGCCTTGGGTGTCTCGCTTGGGAGCCGGCTCCGCTCTGGGTGCAGACAAGGCTAGTGGCTTTCGAGGCGGGTGGGACCGCTTCATGGGCGGCGCCGGAAGGTAGTGCTCGCGGGAAGCCCTGGCAGTTACCCCCACTCCCTTTCCTGCCTGGAAGGCTGAGTGCCAAAGCTAGTGACAGGTTTTGGGTTTTTCTGACAGCCAGGTGATCCGTGGATCCTGTAGCTCTGGGAAGTAAGAGTAACATCTGCTTCACCGAGCCGCTGTAAAGAAGGAAGTGTGGATCATAGACTCATAAGTAGTTATTTTATTTTTACTATTATTTTGAGGAGGGGTCTCCCTATGTATCTCTGGCTGTCCTGGAACTCTCCTGTAGACTAGGCTGACCTTAAACCGCCTATCTGCCTCCAAGTACTGAAAGAAGACGTACATATTGCTGCTTGGAAAGTGCACTGCATCCAAGTTGTAGCGTAACTGATGGTCAGTATCTCCCCGCCTCTCTTCCTCAGAGGGGTTTCGTCAATGAGATGCTCAATGACAGTAAATCTTAATCATAAGTGCCGACTGAAAGGCAGAATTTCCACAGCCAGTAAGAATACTGGGAGCTTTGGAAATTTTAACTGCAGAATCTTGCCCCTAAGTGAAAATTGTGAACAATGATGATATTTTGGGTGGTTGCAGTCTTTTTGTTTTAGCCAACAGATCACTGAAGTTTGATTTTAGGAAGGGAAAAATATTGTTTAGTTTGGAAATACACATTATTGATTGATGATAACTGATACAACAGGGTTATCATTTTGTTACAGGTGATTAATAGCCATCTAGAAGACAAGACCAAGTTGTACATACAAAAGTCTGAACAGAAAAAAATGGAGTTTATTGGCTTTCTCATAAAAAATGAGTTGAAGTTCCACTCATTTATCTGATAGACATCTCTTGGACTGTTAGTG